CAAAGAACAATGCTGACCAGGATGCACAAAAGCCCAAAGCCCAGGTGCAGCGGTGGCAGCAGCAGCAGCAGCCAGGGTGGCGGCAGCAGTGGCGGGCAGCATGGCGGCAGCAGTGGCGCCCAGCGTGGTGGCAGCAGCAGTGAAGGGTGCGGTGTAACAGTGATGGCTAACAAATGCACACCTGTGTGCCTGGCCCCAGTGGCAGGCTGTGGTCAGTACAGGCCGCTGGTTCACACCACCAGCAGGCATGGGTTGTGGGGCCAGGGAGGGCTGTGGGCAACCACACTTGCACCACACCTGCATGTACTCACTCACTCTTTGCACTCACTCTTTGCACCATCTGCAGCAATAAGGCTGTGGCTACTCTGATGAGGGCTTTAAACCCTAAGTTGTTGTCTAGGCAGTGACAGCAACCACTAGGAGCTGGAGTCTATGCAACGCAGGCTCCTCGGCAAAGGATGACCCAGTTGGTGGCACAGGAACCACGCTTAGAATGTACCTAAGGCCTGCAGAATGCCAACCACCACGCCAGGCGCCAGGTGCGCATCAAGGAGATCTTCCCGTCTAGCTGCACGCAGGCGCGCAGCGGTGCGGAACTTAGCTGTCCACAGTAACTGCAAGTCCTCTTCATCTAAATCAGCGGAGTCTAAGCCAGCCTCTGTGACAACAGCGCACATATGCTGCCTCTCATCTGGCGTCATTGAGGGTCTTTCCATTGGCCAGCGGTTAGTAAATATCCATAGTTTATATGGAAAGTTAAGAAATTTCCTTAATTTCATTACCCATTGGGCCCACTGTACACAACTTTTATCGGACATACGGATTGTACGCCATTGCTCACTTTGAAGCTACGTTAGCCCACGATGATGCAACTGGTGAATGATGCAACTGGTGGTACTCCGGCAAACGCGAGGCGTGTTGACCCGACACGAGGTTGACATGGCCATGCTGTACGCGAAGCTGCCTCAAGCGAGCCTCGTCATTCATATGAGTTCCAAGGTACTCATCAGGAGTTCCTTGGAAGGACATTGACGCGGAAATGGCACTCGCCGATTTTGCGTAGCAGGTCTCTGTCGCTTCCAAGCGCCGTGGACTGCACTGGTCAACGTACCAAATATATGCCTATTCAGCTGCGGACCCGAACGGCCCTAAGGAAACCCGGCCGGCCCTAAAGCATGTGCGCTGAAAACGCGCGGCCTGGCAAGGAGCTTGTGGGGACCGCTCTTGCATGATAAACGCTAGTTCGGCGAGTTCAAGTTTCTCCCGGTCTCTCGCTTGCTCTGAGAATGAGTTACAGAGCTAAACTAAACGCACGTCTTGTCGTTGCGAGCAGCGCGCTGGCAAGGAAGCGGTTAGCATCGCTCCAGGGCGGTGTCTCGTCTGGGCCAGGTGTCCGCGTGGGCGTGCCGAACGAAAATTTAGGACCAGCCAATGGAAAGACCCTCATTGCGCCAAACGCCAAACTGGTTCTTGCAGGTTCTGCTTCAGCTGCGTCCACCCCAAACATTTAGTGGACAGCATCCACGGGAATTTTAAGGCTGCAGGTCGCCGTCAGTGTTGCTGCATTTTGCAGCTGCGGCAGCTCCTAAGCTCTGATCTGAATTTAAAGGAGCGTGGGTTATGTATTCAAACCGTGTTGGAGTAAGTCACACGGAGTACCTGGAAGATATTTTGCAAAAGACAAAACAAGACAACATCAAGATGTTACATGTTGTACGGGCCGTACTGGTCAGCAAAACGTCTGTCCCCACAACGGAGGCTGTCGGTCTTACTGTCAACGCGCGAAAGTGTGAGCTGTTGTTTTTTCATCCCGATGGGCAGGTTAGAAGGCAGGTCTATGCTCTCAGCGCATATGACCTGGTCACCATGCGCGTGCTTGAGGAGGGGCTACTGGCCGCTCACGTGCAAAACACGCGCCCGCTGCCTTGGGCTGCAATTCGGACCAAAGTCGGGTTTTGCGAAAAAAATAGTCGTGGCGGCAGCCCAAGTCTCGTTCTGACAATTCATCCGTGTCCTCTCGGAATCACCACCAGCACCACCACAGTATAAAAATGATTACTCATTCAAGTTCTTCGTTCAAGACACATAAGCCCCTTCCTAAGGCCTCGTGGAGTTCATCAGCATGCTTGAAGCGTGTAGAGCAGCTCGTCCATGTTGTGGATTCATGAGGTGGCACTTGAGAAGTCACCAAGCAGCACTTAAGCGTGAACCTGCAAACATGGACACACATCAATACGCCACATACATACATACATACATCGCTTTTGTGGTTCCGCTGGTCTATCCCGGGCTCCTGCAGTGGTGATTGGGCTTGTGTGTGGTCCCTTTTCTTTATATGGCTACTTCTCCACTGGACCAGCCCAGGAAGGGACAGGTAGAGGAGGTCAGTTGTTGTAAGGTGGCTGCAAGACATCTTGTGGTGTCGAGCTCTCTTAGCCTTTCTCTCTTGGAGGGTTTTTATTGGCATGTTAGGTGTATCAGCAGCCCTCCCCTGCCGGGACTGCCCTAACCATATTTTTATTTTCCGTTTTCGTTGGTGGTGTTTTGGGGGGTTGTTTCAGAGAGCCTTTGACTTTGCCCTAGCTGAGACTTGTGGACTCACTCTAGCGGGACCTGAGAGCCCTTCGTGGTGTTTTCACTGCAGCGCCATCCCTGGATGGAGGGGCTGCGGAGTGGCTGCGTAGAGTGTTGGCAGTCTGAGTTGGTGTCGGGAGCACACAAGACTAACCGACTTGTGCTGTGTGCTCCTGACCCTTGCGTTGTGTTTCGGCTTTGGCCCGCGGCTCTCGCAGCCCACAGTGTAATCTAAGTCATACATACATACACACGCGGCCCTACCCTTCATTGCCACTATCTCCATGAACCTGACGGGTCGGGCCTCCAGCTGCTGCCGATACCAGGACTGGACCTCAAGTGCCAGTCTGAGGAGGGTGGGGGGTGGGAGGTCGTCACAGGACAATGACGACGACGATGCTGGTGACGATGAATGGTGATGATGGTGATGGTAATGATGATGATGCTGGTGATGGTGATGATGCTGGTGATGGTAATGGTAATGATGCTGGTGATGATGCTGGTGATGGTGATGCTGGTGATGGTGATGCTGGTGATGGTGATGCTGGTGATGGTGATGCTGGTGGTGGTGATGCTGGTGATGCTGGTGATGCTGGTGATAGTGATGCTGCTGCTGCTGGTAATGGTAATGGTAATGATGCTGGTGATGATGCTGGTGATGGTGATGCTGATGCTGGGAAGCTGGTGATGCT